AGGCCTGATTGGTGCAGTGCTGCAGAGATGGTTGTCCTTCTGGAAAGTTCTCCCATCTCCACAGAGGAACTCTAGAGCTCTGTCACCTCCCTGACCAAGGCCGTTCTCCCCCGATTGCTCAGTTTGGCTGGGCTGCCAGCTCTAGGAAGAGTCTTGGTGGTTCCAAACTTCTGTCATTTAAGAAAGATGGAGGCCACTGTGTTCTTGGGGATCTTCAATGCTGCAGACATTTTTTGGTACCCTTCCCCAGATCTGTGCCTCGACACAATTCTGTCTCGGAGCTCTACGGACAATTCCTTCGATCTCATGGATTGGTTTTTGCTCTGACATGCAGTGTCAACTGTGGGACCTTATATAGACAGGTGTGTGCCTTTCCAAATCATGTCCAACCTATTGAATTTACCACAGGTGGACTCCAATGAAATTGTAGAAACATCTCAAGGATAATCAATGGAAACAGGATGCACAGGAGCTCAATTTCGAGTCTCATAGCAAAGTGTCTGAATACTTATGTAAATAAGGTATTTCTGTTTTTTATTTTTAATACATTTGTAACAATTTCTAAAAACCTGTTTTCGCTTTGTCACCTGTTTTCGCTTTGTCATTATGGGGTATTGTGTGTAGATTGCTGAGGATGTATTTTTTGTATCCAATTTTTAGAATAAGGCTGTAACGTAACAAAATATGGAAAAAGTCAAGGGGTCTGAATAATTTCCAAGGGCACTGTATAGTGAATAGAGTGCCCTTTCAGACACAACCCTAGTTATCATGGACACATGGAGCTGAATTTATTTCAATTCCCACGTCGTATGAAAACCCCCCAGGACAAACACAGACATGCATTGTTCTAACATCAATGGTTTGACATTTGAGAGTCATTATTTCTCAAATCAATAGAGATTACACATTCTTGAGCTATTTTGAACTTCTAATGCAGTAGGGATAATAAAGAAGGGAGTGGTTTGTGACTCACAAGAGCAGCCGCTCACCGATATGTCAGTTCATACCCTGGTTGCACCTGCAACGCTGCCAAAACATCTGCTATGCGGATGTCTTACAAAGCTGGTTAACTCAATCTGATTGAAGTATTTTTTGCCGGAATAATGTTGTTTCTCTCATTTTTTACATGCTGACGCACTGTGGCCTCATTCAGAATTCACTCTGTTTTGCCAAACAATTACATGTATTACTGTGGGATATGTAAAAATGTCCACACACAATAAGACTGTGCTCTACTCTACTTACTATCTGTTTGTATCTATCTGCAGCAGGCTGACTTGTTGATTGCACATTTTATACACCACATAATGGCTCGCTCTTCAAATCCACTCACACTTTCAGTATGGTATAAAAACCACAATATGATCCGAGCCAAGAGACATTATCATGTTTTATATGTTTTGTGATTCGTTGTTGTGGGAGAGTCTCTATCTCTGAAAGGAGGGAGAGGGAGAGGGAGAACGAGAGGGAGAGGAGAGGAAAAAAGAAAGAGAGAGAAAGAGAGGTAGAATGAGAAAAAAGCGAGAACACATTATTTTGTATAATAAAAGCCTTAACACAGCAACATTAAATGTTATTTCCACCAGGTTTTCTGACATGGTAGGCTACTTGATGACGGTTGGTTGTGATTCTGTAATCTCAGAGTCCCATTCCTTCCCTTGTCCTGTTATCAGATGGAGATAGTGACATGTTGAGTGATACCTGCTGGGGATCAAGCTGATTCTGTTATCTACATGGTGGTGACATGGTGGTCACCCCGGTCACCTGCCATGCCGTGTCGTATCATGCCATCGTATCACCACAGTTCTCTATATAATAAGCATATCTCTGTCTGTTTGTCTCTGCCTCTCCACCCTGCTGCCCTTATCTTCCTTGTCTTCACCCTGCCTCCCCCTCTATCTATGTCTATACTCCCTCTACCTCCCACATCTCTCCTTCTACCTCCCCCCTCTACCTCCCTCTTCCTCCCACCTCTCTCCATGTACCTCCCCCCTCTACCTCCCTCTACCTCACATCTCTCCCCCTCTACCTCCCTCTACTTCCCCCTCTACCTTCCTCTACCTCCCACCTCTCTCCCTCAACCTCCCCCTCTACCTCCCTCAACCTCCTCCTCTACCTCCCTCTAACGCCCACCTCTCTCCCTCTACCGCCCACCTCTCTCCCTCTACCGCCCACCTCTCTCCCTCTACCACCCACATCTCTCCTTCAACCTCCCCCTCTACCTCCCTCATCTCTCCCTCAACCTCCCCCTCTACCTCCCTCTACCTCCCACATCTCTCCATCAACATCCCCATCTACCTCCCTCTACCTCCCACATCTCTCCCTCTATCTCACCCTCTACCTTCCTCTACCTCCCACCTCTCTCCCTCTACCTCCCTCTACCTCCCACATCTCTCCCTCAACCTCCCCCTCTACTTGCCTCTAACTCCCACATCCCTTTCCCTCTCTCTCTCCTCACTCCCTCTCCTCTTCCCTCTGTTAATCAGATAAGCAATCCCAGTTGTGAGGATGATTAATATCCATCTAAAGCGTCTTGGTGACCACAGATACCATGGCAGCACAGATAATGTAATTAATATTAGCAGCAGCATAAATCGATCCACCGTAACTTTGTGTCCAGACACGCCAGGCAGCAGGGACTTTTAAGTCACTGCTGATTCATTAATCCTGATCAATAAATGTAATATTTGTTTTTTATAAATGTAACGTTTTAATAATATATGCATGTGCTCTGACGACAGGCACAATGTGATGTGGCAAAAGGTCAAATGGTAAAAAGAGGAGTAGATTCAGGTGTCATTAGAACACATCCTATAGGTTGGATCTCTGTAAGATGTCCACATTTTGACTGGGTCAATCCTAAAGTACTTTTGTGCATTAATAACCTGTGGATTTCAGTTAAGACATAACATCATCATTGTATCTCTGTCTCTACATATACTCAGGACTATTTACATTATGGTTTATGTATTAGAAATGTACACATCCCAATATGTGATTAATGGTGACTGTGTGACCTATTAGATAATCCACAGACTATATATACAATACATGTACATGACAATGACATTCCATCTATTGCGAATGACAGACAAGCTTTACACCTCTCGTGTTATTTCTCTGTAAAATTATCATTTTGCCATTAATAACATGATTAAATAAAAGTCCATTATTGCTGGGATAAAGGCACTTGAGTTGTCAAGCACTCATTGAGCTGCGTGGACACTGTGGATTGTGTGTTGTCAGTGTCAATGCATCTCTCTCTTCACAGCCAACAACTTTCTGCAAAACAAGTCAACCTACTGTTATTTTACTGCTGCTCTTTAATTATTTTTTATTTTTTACTTATCTCTTTTTTACTTAACAGTTATTTTTCTTAAAACTGCATTGTTGGTTAAGGGCTTGTAAGTAAGCATTTCACTGTAAGGTTCACCTGTTGTTTTCGGCGCATGTGACAAATAACATTTGATTTGATTTGATTTGTGATGGAAATCAGCTGGCTCCTCTCCACTTCTGCAGGGTTATCCACCTCCAGGCAGGTGACCAAGAACCCGATGGTCCCTCTGACAGAGCTCCAGAGTGTGCAAAGCTGTCATAAAGGCAAAGGGTGGCTATTTGAAGAATCTCAAATATAAAATGTATTTTGATTTATTTAACACTTTTTTGGTGACTAAATGATTACTTGTATGTTATTTCATAGTTTTGATGTTTTCACTATTATTCTACAATGTAAAAAATAGTAAAAAATAAATAAAAACCCTTAAATGAGTAGATGTGTCCAAACTTTTGACTGGTAGTGTATGTTTCACACACTATAATCCCCCTCTCTTTTTCTCTCCCTTTCTCTCTCCTTCTCACTCTCTATCTGTTTCAACCTCCATGATTTAGACTTTGTTTAAAAGCCCTGTGTGAGTGGCATATAGGCCTACAGGACTATGTGTCCAGAACCATTGTCAAATGGCCTATATCTGGGTAGAAAGGAAGAAAGCACACAGCATCCTCTTCTGAGAGAAGAATATATTGCCTATAAGCGATGGGGGGACCTTGTCTGTGTGATTTTAGAGAAGGGGTTATGGGGGTTGAAAATGTTTTTTAGTTAAGACTAAATTATTATGGTTCAAGGTCACAGCAAATTGAGGTTCTGTAGGCCTATCTAAGATTTTTTATTTTTTATTTTACTTTCTATTGCAACACATGAAATCAGAATAAAGATGAGACTCCTTTTAGAATGGCTTAGCAATTTCCAACTATTCATTTTTGTTTGTTTGTTTAGAAAAGTGATTTTTAGAATCCAAACTTGCCAACTGCAACGTGAAGGTTCTGTAATGTTTTGTTGAAAAACATCTTCAACTGATATATAAGATGCAAATCAACTTTATTTTTATGATACATTTGTTGCTTTAGCATAGGACAGTCATAAAGACTTACGTAGAAACCTTGAACTTCAGTGCGTCATCAGACTCTCCTACTGGACATTCCGATTACGACGGGAACAATAAGCGGAGTGCCAAGGAGGGTCATAGGGGAACGTTTGAAAGTAATATCGACCATATGCAAAATACCACAACGGATGTTAGTCATCACACAGCTCCGAGGAAGTACATGTCAAGTAAATGTACTTGATTTAAAGCGAATTAAGATACCTGTCACACTTCTGTCTCTTGCTATATAACCTAGTGCAGTACTACAGTGTGGTCACAAAGACGCAACAGGACCAAAGGGAAGGCGCTGTAGAGCGGCAGAGCGCGCGGACTGGAGCAGAGAGAGAACTGAGCGGAGGTTGCGACCAAGGAACATCATTTTTGCGCACGCTTAAGGCATTTATATGGAGAGGAGACGATACCAGTTTCCGCAGGTGTAAACATCGAGCTCTCAAAAGTCATAGTGTTTGAAAAACACTTGAACTCAGTTTACTTGAATAGCCTATTTCTACTTTTGAAAATAGACGAAGAAATAATACTTTTAGGGCTGAATAGTTGCGCGCAACAGATAGCTGCATCATGAAATTACTTCTACCGCTTGTGATAGCTTTTCTTGCTATTGGCCAATTTTTCTGTGAAGAAATTGGTCCAAAAGAAGATCTTGATTATTGGACAAACGATCAAATTACGGTAGGCATGATTTAATGATTTGACATAACAAGAAAATTATGTTATTTTTTGTTAGAATCGTCTATTAAACGAATTTTAAAAATGGACATGGATATTTTTTTTTATCTATGATTGCTTAACTATTGGAAAAAAAAAAAATATTTATTTAATGGCACAGCCTTGTGTTTTTTTTACTAAAATAGTTGGAAGTCATTTTAACAAATGTTTATGACACATATTTGTATGCTGATGTCTGTTATAGGTTAATTTACCTGTTTGGAGAGTTTGGTAATGCGTAATTACGCATGTATAGAGACAAAGCATCAACCATTTCCCCCGCAACACAAATGTCGGGTGAAAGATTTGTTATGATTCAATGGGCATAAATTATGAGCTCTTAGCTCAGTGTACAGCGATCATTACTTTAGTCCCAGACTGAAGCTTCATTCACATGTAGCGCACGTTCTCACTTTGACATTGCGGGTTGGGCGCCTGCCAAGTCTCTGGGCGACTCTTGGGGCTTATTTCTCATAAACATTCTGCAGGTAGGCCTATATGATCATTGCCTCGCCCCTGAGGCAAACACAGAGCGTTTTAACAAGGCGGGTGGGCTGTAGTCTTCAATAAGGAAGGAACCAACGGAACTAGGATGTCTTGGATAAGTGATGGGCACTTTAATGAGCGCGGGGCCATTAGCAGCTGTTGGGCCTCTGCTTTTAGACTAATGTTGACTCTAGATATATGGGCTACCCCGTCAGATAAAAATAGGATCGGATATGAAAGTTCACACGGGGTGTCTTTACTGTAATATATTGATTGCCCTGCGAGATTAGATCTAGTGCTATAAAAATATACGATATTTTACGCAGAGCTATAGACTTGTAGGCTATAAGGGAGTCAGTCTCCCCCGACCTCCTCTTATACCCTATGTCTAATGTTCCGTTCATTTGATTTCCTCCCTCGTGCAGGACGAGTGGCTGTCGTCTGACCCGTTCAGAGAGATACTGCGGAGAATGACGCGGAAACCGCGGCCTCATCAGTTCTTTGGCCTGATGGGGAAACGCTCCTCCGGTAAGACCGTGCTTCCTCGCGCCTCGTCCTGTTCCCAGCCTTCACTCTCTATAAGACATTTTCCGTTTATTGAAATTAAATGGAATTAAATTGAATGATATGCATTACATGTACATTTACATTTTTAGTCATTTAGCAGACGCTCTTATCCAGAGCGACTTACAGTAATGCAATTAATAATTACAAACTGTATGTCAATATTTTTACGCACGTTTTTTTCCTATTCATAAAATAAATTACATTATTATAGGCCTACATTGATTGATGTTTTTCCCCCTTTCTTCCAACAGCAAATGCACAGATAACCCGAAAAAGTAAGTGACAAACTCGTAATTAATTAATCTTTTTAATTCATTTTGGAGAAGATTTCCCAATAATTGTCCATGCATTCCGAATTATGAAGCCATGGTTTATTCAGTTATAATTAGTTTTTCTGACATGTTACAAAGGGACAAGGACTGGTGAGGCACAAATGTGTAGGCTAGCCAAGTGCGTGTAGCCTATCAGACACGGTTAGGGAACATCTATTGTGAGCTCAACCCAGGTGATGAGAGCGTTATTTGTACATCAGGTCAGGTGTTACAAGTTATGATGTTTGATGACATTGACGCCGTGAGTACTGTTCACCTGTACTTCACCATGTGGGTTGTAGAGGTTCGTGCTAACCATGCGTGGGAGGGAGAACACACACCAAATGTTGCCCAGCAGCAAAATAAGAAAATGCATGGGTTGAATAATTATATTTATTTTGCATAATGGTAAGTAAAAGTCAAACGAAAGAGAGGGAGAGAGAGAGAAAAAATTGTCAGATGTTTTAATTAAATCACAACCCACACAGCTAACAGGTCGTTTGAGGGATTTAAGGAGACAGTAGGTGGTCGTCTTAATTATGCCTTGAAAATCCCTAAATTCCCTCGCTAGGATACGTTGTCTTAATTCTGCCTTGAAGACCTCTATTACCTCGCTAGAATACATAGTCTTAATTCTGCCTTGAAGACCCCTCTATTTCCTCGATAGGATAGTAATCTTAATTCTGCCTTCAAGACCCCTTGCTATGCTTTTGGGGACCCTAATCAAGATTTGGTTGGCCCCCCTCTAGACGGGGAAAATACGTATTAAAAAAAATATATATATATATTTCCTGCAAATCTACACATTTTCCAATGGGGTGTATAGAAAATGTAGCTGTTTTAAAATACGTTTTCTGCAGTTCTACCCATTTTGCCATGGGGCAGAGAGAAATTGTTGTAATTTTATAACATATTTCATGCAACTCTACTCGTTTTGCCATGTGGCAGAGATAATTGTTTTCAGATTTAAAGCTAATTTCCTGTAATTATTCACATTTTGCCACTACATTTGCCATGTTAATGACATCTTAGTGAGAGTGACTAACATAATCCAAATGTCCCCCCTGGGGTCAGTCGGTATTCGGCCATGATTACTACAACTTTAGATAGCTGACTAACTTACCAAATAAAAAATGGTTAGCTGACATGGCTAATTGAGCGACTCAGTGATGACATAACAAGAGAAAAATTGCTGATGCACAACCAAATTTCGAATTTGCACCTTGTGTATTCTACTATTCTAACTCTCAACAGTAAATTGAGACCCCGACTGAGTAAAAAAATGTGATGACGTTGAATCAACATGGATTTGCAAAAAGTAGTCCACGAAAGGAAATTTGTCAACCAACTTTGAACCTAAATCTAATGACATGGTGATATATATATATTTTTTTTCATGCAGAATTCACTGTAGTTGACAACTCAACCAAATGTAAATCAATACTAGACGTTGAAATGACGTCTGTGCACAGTGGGAGAGAGAGGGATATCCCACATCCCCTCTGTTCAGTCATTTAGGCATTTCCTAAATGACTCCCCTTCTCCGTGAAAGGAGGCAGCAAGTGCAGCATAAATACAGTGCATTTGGAAAATATTCAGACCCCTTCCCTTTTTCCACATGTTGTCACTTTACAGCCTTATTCTAAAATGGATTAAAAATAATAATAAGCCTTTTCAATCTACACACAATACTTAATGACAAAGCAAAAACAGTTTTTTTGAATTTTTGCAAATGTATTAAAAATTTAAAACAGAAATACCTTGTTTACCTAAGTATTCATACCCTTTGCTATGAGACTCGAAATTTAGCTCAGGTGCATCCTGTTTCCATTGATCATCCTTGAGATGTTTCTACAACTTGATTGAACTCCACCTGTGGTAAATTCAATTGATTGGACATGATTTGGAAAGGCACACACCTGTCTATGTAAGGTCCTACAGTTAACAGTGCATGTCAGAACAAAAACCAAGCATTGAGGTCGAAGGAATTGTCCATAGAGCTCCGAAACAGGATTGTGTCGAGGCACAGAAATGGGGAAGGGTACCAAAAAATTTCTGCAACATTGAAGATCCCCAAGAACACAGTGGCCTCCATCATTCTTAAATGGAAGAAGTTTGGAACCACCAAGACTCTTCCAAGAGCTGGCCGCCCGGCCAAATTGAGTAATCAGGGGAGAAGGGCCTTGGTCAGGGAGGTGACCAAAAACCCGATGGTCACTCTGACAGAGCTCCAGAGTTCCTCTGTGGCGATGGGAGCACCTTCCAGAACGACAACCATCTCTGCAGCACTCCACCAATCAGACCTTTATGGTAGAGTGGCCAGACGGAAGCCACTCCTCAGTAAAAGGCACATGACAGCCCGCTTGGAGTTTGCTGAAACGTACCTAAAGACTCTCAGACCATAAGAAACAAGATTCTCTGGTCTGATGAAACCAAGATTGAACTCTTTGGCCTGAATGCCAAGCATCACGTAATATAAATAATAATATGCCATTTAGCAGACGCTTTTATCCAAAGCGACTTACAGTCATGTGTGCATACATCACGTCTGGAGGAAACCTGGCACCATCCCTACGGTGAAGCATGGTGGTGGCAGCAGCATGTTGTGGGGATGTTTTTCAGCTGCAGGGACTGGGAGACTAGTCAGGATCGAGGGAAAGATGAACGGAGCAAAGTACAGAGAGACCCTTGATGAAAACCTGCTCCAGAGCGCTCAGGACCTCAGACTGGGGCGAAGGTTCACCTTCCAACAGGACAACGACTCTAAGCACACAGCCAAGACAACACAGGAGTGCCTTCAGGACAAGTCTCTGAATGTCCTTGAGTGGCCCAGCCAGAGCCCGGACTTGAACCCGATCGTACATCTCTGGAGAGACCTGAAAATAGCTGTGCAGCGGCGCTTCCCATCCAACCTGACAGAGCTTGAGAGGATCTGCAGAGAAGAATGGGAGAAATTCCACAAATACAGGTGTGCCAAGCTTGTAGCGTCATACCCAAAAAGACTCGAGGCTGTAATCACTGCCAAAGGTGCTTCAACAAAGTACTGTGTAAAGGGTCTGAAATACTTATGTAAATGTGATATTTCCGTTTATTATTTTTTATAAATTTGCAAAAATGTCTCAAAACCTGTTTTTGCTTTGTCATTATGGGGTATTGTGTGTAGATTGATGAGGGGAAAAATCTATTTAATCCATGTTAGAATAAGGCTGTAATGTAACAACATTTGGAAAAAGTCAAGGGGTCTGAATACTTTCCGAATGCACTGTATATCTGGTATAGACCAATGCGTTGCTGGAGCCTTGATGCAGGCATGACTGTACATCACTCATCATTAGAGGCAAGGACAGAGAAAGGGAGAGGGGGAGGGTGATAGAAGGAGCGAGAGAGAGAAAGAGATAACGAAGGAGAGAGAGGGATGGAGGAAGAGAGAGAGCGAAGGAGAGAGATGAGAGAGAGCAAAGGTGAGCGAGAGAGCGGGGCAGAGAAAGGGGGAGAGAGAGCGGGAGAGAGAGAGTGCTTCGATCAATGCCCCAAGGACATTTAGGCGTTAAATTAGATTGGTTACGCTGATGATGGAAAGATGGACCCGAGCATCTCACCCTTACATTTACACAAACTGTATAATATAATATATACATTATACAGTATACATATAATATATAATATATACATTATAATAAATTACAGTATATAACACACAATGGAGGGGCCAAGCACTTATGATGTCCGGAGGGAAAACTGAGAAGAAATATTGCAAGTGACTCGTGACTAGACCACCAATGGAAGTTGCACAGGATGCCATCACCCCGTTACGATCATCATCATTCCCATATCTCTAATGTGTTGACAGATAGGGTATGTTGACAGATAGGGTATCCCAGGGGTCTCACGCAGAGTTTTATAACCCCACCACTCCCCCTTCTCCCCCACATCCTCCCCCGTCTCCTCCATTCCCTCCACCCTTATATTATATTCCATTAGGGTGATCCACAGAGGTTGACAGAGACGCCCGTCAGTCTGTGACGCGTGTGTCCCCTCAGGACATGCATCCTATCCCCGCCCTCCTAGGAAAAACAATCTCCAACCACTACCCTTCCTTCCAAAACGTGTGGGTGGGCGCCGCTATATCCCTCAGTCACTAGGGCAAGGGGACGGAGTCAATCCATCAATTTGCACAAGACTAGAGATCTGCCAGAGTAGAAGGAGTGTAGATATTGTTCTACACACTCTCCTCTCACCATTGAGGTTATACACTAGGCATTGCATCACTGACTAAAATGATTGGTCACACTTTATTTGGATGGTCCAGATAGATGATCTACAGATGGTCATACTGTCAACGCCATACTGTTATCTGTTGATAAGCAACTGCTTGGTAAGGTTACAGTTAGGGTTAGAATAAGGGTAAGGGTTAAGGTTAGGGCTAAGGTTAAGTTTAAGGTTAGGGTGTAAATAATATTGGCAGTAACTGGAAGAACTCACACCTTTTTGTTCTACACACTAGTCACTCTATCACTCACTGTCTATAATTGTAGTGTCAATGGTATTGGCTCTCTTCTCTTTCAGGGCATAAAATTAACTCCTTTGTTGGACTGATGGGCAAGAGGAGCCAAGACGAACCAGGTAAGGGCCTCATATGAGCTTTTTAACCCACTGAGTCGAACCGAGCTGAACCAAGCTGTTCTTAGCTGGCCTGGTTACGAACCCACAATAATTGCTGGAACCCTGCTAAAAATGACAATCTGAAAAGAAACTGTGCTGTGTGATTTACAAGCTTTCTCCAACTATAGATTCATATGAGTGGAACACACAGCAGAACTACGACAAGCGCCGCTAACCGGTTGGTCTGTACTCAGTCCTCTGCTATTGGTCCGCTTCTCATCCAGTCATTCCTACAGAAGAGTGGAAGGGGTGTCTGATGCCGAGTTTTGTTTCCTCCAAAATATGTATAGTCAAACTTATTGTAATAAAATGTCTGTTTTCACATCATGGTGATGTAGCTGTACTGTACCTGACTGTACCAAATTTGATTTGTCCAGGAAGAAGGGGTTGAAAAGGAGGGCAGGAGTGTGATCTGAATAGGGTTTCAATATTCCGGTTGTTTTTCCCAAAATTCCCAGGTTTTCCAAAAATTCCGGTTGGAAGATTGGAATTAGAAAGGAAATTATTAGAAGGACATTTCCAGAATCCTCCAACCAGGATTTCTGGGAAAACCTGGGAAATTTGGGAAAGTTAGTGGACTGTTTGTCACCCTTGGTGTGAACTGATACTCCTACCGTACCTTACAGAAACATTATGTTATTTAATGTATGTCAAAGTATTAGTACCATCAGCATATCATATGTTCCAGAGAATACTGTTGTCGTGGACCATCAAAGCAAAGCTCTACCCCAGGGTATGTAGAAAATTGCACTGCCAATCACACTGTCTAGTGCCTCATAACTGTTTTAATCACAACCGATTGTGCTGTAAATAAACTACACACGCTGGTACACAACAGACATGCTGCTCTGTCAGGGCACGTTCTCATTTAAATTGACTGTAAATTAAACTGTCAAACTGTCATGTTTATAACACCAAGACCTATGGTATGACAGAATACTTGTATGTAATTGCGGCTTGATATATTAAAACTATTTTCTTTATTGGTGGAACTTTCTCTTCTTATTTTCACTGGTAGGAATATGCTGCGTAGAGCAGGGTTCCCCAACTGGTGGCCCGCGTACGGAATTTGGACCGCTGGTGGTTTTATTTGGCCCACCAATTTTTCTGAGCAAAAAAATACTGTTTTTTTTTTGTGTGTGATTTTCATTGTTGGACATAAAAGACACCAGGAAATAATCTCCAAGTGATTATAATTTAAGAAATCTGTTCCCAAGTATTCCCACGTGGGTGGTCCTCTGTAGCTCAGCTGGTAGAGCACGGCGCTTGTAACGCCAAGGTAGTGGGTTCGATCCCCGGGACCACCCATACACAAAAATTTATGCACGCATGACTGTAAGTCGCTTTGGATAAAAGCATCTGCTAAATGGCATATTATTATTATTAATAGAGAGACACGACATGATCGTATACAAATGTAAGCAAGGTTTGAAATGATTATGTTTTAGTCAATTTGCAGTCTACAAATAATTTGTAATTATGTTCAGGCCCCCCGACCATCCACTCAAGAAAAAAAATTGGCTCCTGATCCCTGGTGTAGAGCATGTGTAGAGGGTGTTGATATTGTGGAGTGGTGCACCCCTTGTGGAGTGATGCACCCTCTGTCGGACAAAGAAAGTAGCACACAGTTGTAAAATTGGCCAACCCCTCCCTCTCACACCCCACAAGTCGATATGATCCAATACCTATACCACTTAGAATGCATGCCCAATATATAGCTTTGTACTTAAGTGATATGCTAGTGTGGATATTGTAATGCAGACTCATGATGAAGATAATGACCACCCAAAAAACTAAACAATAACATGTGAGATAGATATTGTCAAGGGTGTGGAGCACATTTTATTTCAGCAGCAGTTTAAATACAGTAGACAGACACAGTGTACATCACTTTAGACATGTAATGCTATAGTTTCATACATTTCCATGAGTCTAGACTCTAGATGGATTGTAGTTGAGAAAACAAAGTGCAATCAATGCACCATGGTTAGCATCCAACCTGCAGTGGGTCTGTTTTGGTTTCAGTAGTTTCCTTATGTAACCCATTATACCAGCCTCTCTCAAGTATGTTTCATCTTCAATCGATTCATGTTGTTCCCAGCGTGATGTTCAATCTGTTACACATTCTATTATCTCAACGACACACTCACACAAGAACACACCCTGCACACACACTTTATGTAAACGCTAGTGAGAATGATGGTTTATAGACCATTATTACACCATGTTATGGTCTTGCTCTCTTTACATTGGTAGGTAAACACAACACACTCCAGTAAAGGACAGTATGTAACAGGCAACAAACACCTCGTCCCTTTGTTATCGCTATTCCAGACACATTATCTGTCTGATCAGTTTGTGTGGCCACTTACAGTTGAAGTCGGAAGTTTACATACACCTTAGCCAAATACATTTAAACTCAGTTTTTCACAATTCCTGACATTTAATCCTAGTAAAAATTCCCTGTCTTAGGTCAGTTAGGATCACCACTTTATTTTAAGAATGTGAAATGTCATAATAATAGTAGAGAGAATGATTTATTTAAGCTTTTATTTATTTCATTACATTCCCAGTGGGTCAGAAGTTTACATACACTCAATTAGTATTTGGTAGCATTGCCTTTAAATTGTTTAACTTGGGTCAAACGTTTCGGGTAGCCTTCCACAAGCTTCCCACAATAAGTTGGGTGAATTTTGGCCCATTCCTCCTGACAGAGCTGGTGTAACTGAGTCAGGTTTGTAGGCCTCCTTGCTCGCACACGCTTTTTCAGTTCTGCCCACAAATTTTCTATAGGATTGAGGTCAGGGCTTTGTGATGGCCGCTCCAATACCTTGACTTTGTTGTCCTTAAGCCATTTTGCCACAACTTTGGAAGTATGCTTGGGGTCGTTGTCCATTTGGAAGACCCATTTGCAACCAAGCTTTAACTTCCTGACTGATGTCTTGAGATATTTTCAATATATCCACATCATTTTCCTTCCTCATGATGCCATCTATTTTGTGAAGTGCACCAGGCCCTCCTGCAGCAAAGCACCCCCACAGCATGATGCTGCCACCCCTGTGTTTCACGGTTGGGATGGTGTTCTTCGGCTTGCAAGGTACCCCCTTTTTCCTCCAAACATAACGATGGTCATTATGGCCAAACAGGTCTATTTTTGTTTCATCAGACCAGAGGACATTTCTCCAAAAAGTACGATCTTTGTCCCCATGTGCAGTTGCAAACTGTAGTCTGTCTTTTTATGGCGGTTTTGGAGCAGTGGCTTCTTCCTTGCTGAGTGGCCTGTCAGGTTATGTCGATATAGGACTCGTTTTACTGTGGATATAGATACTTTGTACCTGTTTCCTCCAGCATCTTCACAAGGTCCTTTGCTGTTGTTCTGGGATTGATTTTCACTTTGTACAGATGAACGTGGTACCTTCAGGCGTTTGGAAATTACTCCCAAGGATGAACCAGACTTGTGGAGGTCTACAACTTTTTTTCTGAGGTCTTGGCTGATTTCTTTTGATTTTCCATTGATGTCAAGCAAAGAGGCACTGAGTTTGAAGGTAGGCCTTGAAATACATCCACAGGTACACCTCCAATTGACTCAAATGATGTCAATTAGCCTATCAGAAGCTTCTAAAGCCATGACATCATTTTCTGGAATTTTCCAAGCTGTTTAAAGGCATACAATTGCGATACAGTGAATTATAAATTCAATAATCTGTCTGTAAACAATTGTTGGAAAAATTACTTGTGTCATGCACAAAGTAATGTCCTAATCGACTTGCCAAAACTATAGTTTGTTAACAAGAAATTTGTGGAGTAGTTGAAAAATGAGTTTTAATGACTCCAACTTAAGTGTATGTAAACTTCCGACTTCAACTGTACTATTCGAGTACAGAATGGCTAAGTAATATCAGAGGCATTAGTCTTTTTCACATTACATTAGTACGATGACAAGTTAAAACAAAAACAGGGGGGAGACAAAAAGTAAAAAGAAAGAGTAAGAAATGTTCAAATTCATATTCTGATGAAGGACATAGATGAAGGACAAATAATCAATCTTTTAATAGTTGATTCAATAAAATTGGTTTTTAATTGTGAGTGAATGTTGTAAAGCTGTCATCAAGGCAAAGGTTGGCTACTTTGAAGAATCTCAAATATAAAATATTTATTTGGTTACTACATGATTCCATATGTGTTATTTCATAGTTTTGATGTCTTCACTATTATTCTACAATGTAGAAAATAGTAAAAATAAAGAAAAAACATGGAAGTAAGTGTGTCCAAACCTTTGCCTGGTACTGTATATCTATCTTGTCTATTGTCTCCTGTGACATATTACCAAGTTCTTGTCTTGCACTGAACCAGAGGAGGCTGGTGGGAGGAGCTCTAGGAGGACGGGCTCATTGTAATGGCTGGAATGGCATAAATGGAACAGTATCAAACACATAGCAACCACATGTTTGACTCCATTCCATTTTTTCCATTCCAGCCATTACAATGAGCCCATCCTCCTATAGCTCCTCCCACCAAGCAGGAACAAAGTGTCCTTTATTTTACAGGCTGCCTGCTTCCTGTCTGGGTAAGATGCAAATATTAGACTCTTGAAGTAAAGGTTATATCTAACTTCTGGGTAAGACGCTATGTTAAAAACACTACATCTTTACATTAACTGTTATTTGCATCTAACGTCACAATAATGTGAATGAGAGGAAAAGGAAGATTCTGCCGACAGAACTCATTAGGAATTTACATATATGTATTATGAAATCATATCTAGGTATGGTACTATAATTTATGAAAGCATTACAGTAGTATTGCTACTGAATTCCAGTTAGATGGACTACAGCATCATTCCAGTATTTTAACATGATCAACTATTCCTACTGAAACAGTTCCCCAAATCAGAACTGACCCTGTAACTGTAATTCACACTGATCCCAAGAACTAGATGATTCCTGCATAGGGCTGGAACAATTATCATATAATCGTCTAACCGACAATTATGGACAATAACCGTGAACAAAGAAAATGGTCAATAATAGTCTTAATACATTCATTTTAGGAGAAGAGGGGATTCAACTTTATATTCAAGTAGACATAGTATACCCAATAGCAGTTTTTCATGAAGTGGGTAAAGATGGTAATCATTTTGCGAGCGGCACAGTCGGAAGGAGAAGCTCGTTTTTGATACAGGGGTGTCACGAAAGCGGTGCTGTATTCGTTAGGTATGTCGTAACTAATTAGGTATGTCGTAGCTGAAGATGAATTATGATGCATTACAAGGTCAAAACATTTTAATAAAAACGACAATAACCATGGCTATTTGCATGACAATTAATCGTTACCCAAAAATGCCATAATCGTCACAACTCTAGCATCAGACAGGTATGTTGTGAAGGGGAGGTGTAGTAATGGTGACAGAAGTGATTGATAGCTGACACGGTCTACGTTCCAATATCCATACTAGCATACCACTTAGAATGCATACATGCTCAATAGACTGCTTCATTCTAAGTGCTACGCTAGTGAGGATATTGGAAGAGAGCCACTGTTCTTGCTGTATCACTGGTCCTTGTCAGGCTTGTAGATGGAGAGGGTTCTGGCTGAGGGGTCTGTAGCATTGATCCAGCGAGGCATCCAGTAGTGGCTGAGCCACTCAGCCTGGCCCGGGTACTGCTTCTCAAACACCTGGCGGTAGAAGTACGCCTCTTTGGTTCTGGGAGGGAGGAACGGGAACGTCTTAGGAGCTTTCTCCAGCTGGTAGTCGTTCACCTTGGAGGAGAGAAAGAAGGAGTCAGAATGTGTGTGTGTGCACGTGTGTCTGCATATGTCATGTGTGCCAGCGTGCCTGTGTGAGTATGTGCGTGCCTGCTGTGTGTCTGACTATGTGAATGTGTACCTCAGACTCCATTTGATCCTGCAGGCTGTTGTACCAGGACTTCTTGACAGACGTCATTCCATCGCTGAAGGCCTCTTTACGTCTCCATAGGATCTCGTCTGGGATCAGGTTCAGACCTTTAAATGAGTCTCTGAGGAGGTGCTTCTCCACTCCATCCTGGTTATACACACACATACATCCCTCAGTGAAACTGAACTGTTTGGAATTATAGCACCGGAATCCTTTACATGTTTGGAGACTGATTTTTGCTTCAAGGACTCTGATTTGGATACACAACACTGACAACAATCCCTCGAGACACTTTTGCAATAATACATTACTTCCGATTTCATACTCCATTATCTCATCAGAGCCAAATCTACAGGATAGGGAGATTGGGATAGTGAGGATATGGTGATTAGGGCTGAGGAGACTGACCTTTGGCTGCCTCATCTCCTCAGGCAGGGAGAGGTAGTACGCTGTGAATCTGTGGTCCAGGAAAGGCACTCTCAGCTCCAGACTGTAGAGGAGAGAAGAGGAAGTCAGTTAGGTGCCATCTTTAAATCTTAGATCTTCTGTAATGAACCTATAGCTTCTCAAAAGAAAGAAAGAAAGAAAGAAAGAAAGAAAGAAAGAAAGAAAGAAAGAAAGAAAGAAAGAAAGAAAGAAAGAAAGAAAGAAAGAAAGAAAGAAAGAAAGAAAGAAAGAAAGAAAGAAAGAAAGAAAGAAAGAAAGAAAGAAAGAAAGAAAGAAAGAAAGAAAGAAGATAGTGGTCTGATGAGTTTGAGGAATGGATGTAAAAAGTAATGAATTTAGTGAAAAATAGTTTGATGCCCTTGCCCATGTGCAGCGGTTGTGCGGTCGGCTCTCAGGACGTCAAACAGGTAGAGCTCCTTCATCAGACGAACACTGTCCTCCGCTGCTGCCTTGGGCGTGGGAGCCTGGAGCAGGAAACACAACAACTCAGTTCATATTCCCAGACATAACAACTGGTTCCAGGGTTGGGTTCAATTCCATTTCAATTAAGTCAAACCAGGAATTTCCAATTGATTTCTATGACAATGAAAATTCATGCACTTCCTGAATTAACTACTCCACTCACCACAGCCCTGTCTAGTACATGAAAATTGGTGAGTGGGAGAGAATGACATCTGATGTGGAACAGACTTACCTTGTGGAAATAGATGTATCCTTGTGTAAGCTCGTCAGAGCCCTCCCCAGAGAAGATCACCACGCTGTCAGTCTTCTCACGGATGTACTTTGACACTAGGTACATGCCTGCAGAATGAGAATTGAATTGAAGTAGTCCCTTGCAGTATAACATAAACCTTGCCAAATATTCATTTCTTATGAAAGGTTCTTGCGCCATCTAGGGGCAAATAAAACCATCTGTATTTGGCTGAAAATAAGTAAATTAAAGTAAACTGATCATCACATGAACTTTGGTCTTTACTTCAAGTTTGCACTTTTGGGACTATTCCATTGGTTCCATTGTACCAGGCAAACTGAATCACGTATTTGATCCACATATTTGGCCCAGGTCTGGCTGATAGCTCCTCTCTATTGACAGGCCACACTCACTAATCTCCTAGAATTCCACTAGGATTCAAACAAGCCAATCAGTAGGAAAAGGAATGCAGCCTGACCAGACTCCTTTTGTCCAGGTCAGTGGGCACATTGAGAAGGTACAACAAAACTGTCTAGTGTCTACGTATTTCACAAATGCGTCACCCTCATAGCCTATTAATTCAGCTTAAGTGGGATACCACTTCTGCTTGGTGTTTGGAGATCTAGGCTGATCTAAGACGGGACAGTGTACTCCCTCACCAACAGAGGCGCGTATGGTGGTGATGTCATAGGTCTCCAGGTGAAAGATGACCTCCTCCAAGGCTTTGACACCCTCCTCAGGGGTGAAGTCCACCTCGTGGTGCTCACTGCCGATGTAGGACGCCACCTGGAACAATACAAGACATTCATTCACGTATTATCAATTTATTGCCGTCAACATATTATGCCCTGTGAGCTGTAATGTATTGGGTAAAAGATGCTACAAAAATAGTTTGATTATTACTGATTATGAAGTTATACTGTTATGAAACCGATTGATTAGCTGCTAATATTGTTGCACTCGCTTAGTCTAGGAGTCTTAGGCATAGTTAACTGGTCTGTAACCTGATTTAAGGTGCATCTATGTGAGAAATCAGCGTATGAGGACCGTGTTGTATGTACATGTGCCTAGGAGACAGCAAACTTACCAGGATCCAGGCCCAGCTCCGTCCTGACTCCTATGGGTTGGCTAGCCCAAGTGGATTATTGTTCGTTGTTGAAAAGGGTGACCAACATACATATTTACAAAAATTAACTTCAAAAGGCCGGTCCAAAACTAAAGAGGTTAACAAAAAACAAAGACCGGCAGGCCGAGAGGCTCTATGGCAGGGTTCTTCAATTCCGGTCCTGGAAGGCCAAAACACTTCTGTTTTTTATTTCTACCTGGTAGTTAATTGCACTCACCTGGTGTCCCAGGTCTGAATTAGCCCCTGATTAGAAGGAGAGGATGAAAAACAGAGGTGTTTCGGCCCTCCAGGACCGAAATTGAAGAACCCTGCTCTATGGCCACCTCTGAAGGATCCCCGCTCAACCTGATTGCTTGCACCTGATTGCCTGCACCTGTGCACTTCATCAAGGCTTGACAGAGAACCTAGACCCGGTTGCTGCTGCCCCCTGGGGGATGAGTGTGGAAGTGTTTAATCATGCTCCTAAGACCTAACCTACCCAACCTGTTCCATAACAATATCCTCTTTACTATAATGCAGAGTCTCTCTATGGAGGCTGGAGAGAGCCTCACTCACCTTGCGAGCAGCCAGGATGTCTGGGCTGTCTTCAGCCCCGATAGCGAAGGTCTGGATGGGGTACTTCAACTTCTCTTCTTTGGCTAGTTTGACCAGCGTAGCTGCCACCAGACTGGAGTCCAGACCACCTGGCAGAAATATATAGTATCAGTCATAAACATGATTTACTAGCTTATCAAACGTGTAATTTGACCTATGGTGTAATGATAATAAGCATGTATTCTCATTTATTTGCAGACAAGCATAAGTGAAAACGACAAGTAACAGATCTCAAACATTACTTACTCAAACCACAAGCTTTCATGTGTGACACTACACAAAGATACTCCGTAATAGCCATTATTTGTACCTGAGAGAAGACATCCAATCCTCCTGTGGGCCATGAGGCGTTTCCGGACAGCGTTCTCAAACAAAGACCGGATGTTGCTCTTCACTGTCTCTGGGACAAAACCTACAGGGGACAGCAAGAGATCTTACTGTCATCACACAGGGACCAGTCAACTGAATGGTTAAAGACCAGCAAATCAACTCTAACATACTACACATCCAACTCCTATTGTCAGTGACTACAATGATTTCAGTTATACAAGAGGCTTCATTCGTGGCAATGCCCTCAATACCAAAAAGGTGCATCCTGAAACAATAATCAGTGAGCCATTCCTCCCTTCATCTTAGGTGTCAAACAACATTTGTCACCGTTCACTGATAGCTAGCTACAGGTAGTGGCACTGTTAAATAATCAGTAACCTTGACCCACATTTTGGCCGCTGTCAATCAAGATAGTGATGTTATGGAAATACTATGGATATGTGTGTTTGTGTGTGTGTGTGTACCGGAGGGTAGCCTCTCTACTGTGTCATAGGCAGCGTGGTTGGGCTCCTGGGTGCAGCAGTGGAAGCGGTCCATCTGAATAGACTCTACCTTCCCAGTGGGCTTCAGGTCAAACACCTCAAAGTGCCCTGGGAGGAACGGAGTGATCTTAGGAGGAGAGGACATGGAGTGGGTAATATCAGTCAGACCTGGGAACAAACACAAATAACATGTATAAGAACTACCATGGTAACACTTTACATTACGTTGTTGTTATCATACATGTATAGTAACACTATCATTATACACTAGTAACATCTTATTAACATGTTACATTGTACTTTACTAATTTAATTTCAGTTGCATAGCAATAGAGTTGAGCAGTTTTTGTAATTACACAATATTCTTTATTTTATTTTACTCAAACAATAAAGTTAATCCAATCCGATCCTGAATAGGGATTGTTCTTTAATCCACTTGTGTAGCAACCAAAACCGCTCAACCCCAAAGGAGATATTAAGTAAGTAGTCCCCTCTCACCTTTAGCCTCAGAGCACACAGCCAGGAAGCCGTTGTCGGTCAGTAGTTTGAACATGGGCCGCACGCCATACGTATCCCTCCCCAGGAACACCTTCCTATTGGCTGTGTCCAGGAGGACGAAGGCGAACACTCCGTCCAATAGGGACGCCATCTTCTGAATGCCGAAGCGCTCGTACAGGTGAAGCAGGATCTCACCGTCTACTTTGGTCTGGTAGTCAGTAAACTCAAACTGCTCCTTCAGCTAAAGAAGGATGGAAAAAAGTATCAGGATTATTATGAGATATAAGACATTACAAGTGGTCATACATGCTCATGACATACACTCCCCTACATATTTATTTGTACAGTGAAGCAAAAACCTTTGGCTCTATACTCCAGCATTTTGGATTTGAGATCAAGTGTTTTCTATGAGGCGGCAGAACGTCACCTTTTATTTGAGGGTATTTTCATACATATCGGTTTTACCGTTTAGAAATGAATGTGCTTTATGTATCTAGTCCCCCCATTTGAAGGTGTCATAAGTATTTGGACAAATTCACATATAGTTTATTACATTTAGTCAAAAGTTTAGTATTTGGTCCCATATTCCTACAAACTTGTTGAATGCATTTGCAGTTTGTTTGATTGTGTTTCGGATTATGTTGTGCCCAAAAGAAATGAATAGTAAATAATGTATTGTGTCATTTTGGAATCACTTTTATTGCAAATAACAATAGAATATGTTTCGGAACACTTCTAAATTAATGTGGATTCTACCATGATTACAGATGATCATGATTGAATCGTGAATAATGATGAATTACAGATGCACAAAGATCATGCCCCCAGAACATGCCACCCTCTCACTATTACATATAACAGGTTAGCATTTTTAGGGGGGGAATGATATTTATGCATCTGTTACTTTCTCACTTGTCATTTAGTTCTCTCTCAAGTTTTTTTTATTTGGCATTTTGAATGATTATACAGATAACACACACAGCACAGGTAGAGGGCAAAACACACACGGATCCCCTACCAAATCAAACCCACCCCAACCCCCCCATGCTCCAACAGAGCCCCATCCCCATATCAGACTTAAAGCAGGCATGATATAGAATTTGAGTAATATAATAAAATAACAAAAAGAAACAAAAATATAAATCAAACAAAAAGTTTTAAAAAATAATGATATAAATTGTCATTTGGGTTGGTTTATGGAGTTGTGAAATTAACTGGGTCCATGTCTTCTACAAAAGATAGGAAAGGTTGCAAGGTATTATAAAATGTAATTGCAGTCACTCGTCATTATCTAAACGGTAAAACAGATATGTATGAAAATACCCTCAAATAAAAGGTGACATTCTGTACTATCGCCACATATAAAACATTTGATCTCAAATCACAAAATGCTGGAGTATAGAGCCAAATGAAAAGTTTTAGCTTCACTGTCCAAATAAATACATAGGGGAGTGTACGTGCTCATTACATAAATTACATGCTTATAATCACAATGGATTGTAAGTAGGTTACGCACAATCGCATCCAACAATTTCCTAAGGTGCAGGGTACATAAGATGTGTGATATAATAAGTTAATGCATTGTATTTTAAGACTGAGAATACCATTATCAATATGATCTTCCTACTTTCTTCGCTCACGGTTTTCTCAAACTCACATGAACAAAAGTTTGGACACATAAGAAATTTGGCTTGGCACCTAAAACCCTCACAAACCTTTACAGATGCACAATTGAAAGCATCCTATCGGGCTGTATCACCGCCTGGTACGGCAACTGCACAGCCCGCAACCGCAGGGCTTTCCAGAGGGTGGTGCGGTCTGCCCAACGTATCACCGGGGGCAAACTACCTGCCCTCCAGGACATCTACAGCACCCGATGTCACAGGAAGGCCAAAAAGATAAAGGACAACAACCACCCGAGCCACTGCCTGTTCACCCCGCTATCATCCAGAAGGCGAGGTCAGTACAGGTGCATCAAAGCTGGGACCAAGAGACTGAAAAACAGCTTCTATCTCAAGGCCATTAGACCGTTAAATAGCCATCACTAGGCGGCTTCCACCCGGTTACGTAACCCTGCACCTTCGAGGCTGCTGCCCTATATAAATAGACTTGAAATCACTGGCCACTTTAATAATAGAACACTAGTCACTTTAATAATGTTTACATATTTTTGCTTTACTCATATGTATATACTGTATTCTATTCTACTGCATTTCCGTCTATGCCACTCCGACATTGCTCATCCTAATATTTATATATTTCTTAATTCCATTATTTCACTTTTAGATTGTGTGTATCGTTAAGAATTGTTAAGATATTACTGCACTGGTGGAGCTAGAAACACAAGCATTTCGCTACACCCGTAATAACATCTGCTAAACATGTGTATGTGACCAATACAATTTGAAGTCCCTTTGGCATAGAGATAGTGCCTTTTTAAGAAAGGAGGAGTTGCCTGGCCTAAAGCCATTACCACACTAACATTATTATGTCCCTGCTTCGTGACTAGCAAGTAGAAACTGAATATGTTCCACACCAAAACTTGGCCATTTCCCAAAGGCCTGGTCCCATTTCCATACCTACAGTTGCCTGGGGTCCAGAAGTTTGGATTCCAGGCTATACCTTATGTGTCTATGGGCCATAACTACTGTGTGGTTTGTAGATCTCCTACCATAGCCTGGGATTTGTGATGTGAAAAAATGTGGATTCCAGGCTATACCTTATGTGTATATGGGCCATAACAACTGTGGCGTTTGTAGACTTATTGAGCCTGTGATTGGTGAAACTGAAACAATGTAGATTCCAGGCTAGACATACCTTGTGGTAGTTGTAGATCTCTCCATTGTAGACGAGCCAGAGGTAGGGGAACTTCTTGATGCGGATGGGTTGCATGCCATACAGCTGGTCTACGATAGCCAGGCGATGGAAGCCAAAGCAACAGTTAGTGAAGCCGTTGACATTCTCAAAGCGAAAAGCGTCTGGGCCCCGGTGGGCGATCTTCATAGCGCTGGTGCACTGAACCGACAGGCACTCATCACTGCCAAACAAGGCCCATATACCACACATCCTGGGGCTGGAGAGGTGAGGGGGAGAGAAAGGAGATAGAGAGAGAGATAGGGGGAAGGGAGAAAGAGAGAGAGGGGGTAATAAATACATGCAACAAGAGGCAGAGCAGATGGTCTAGAGACTAGTGCCCCTTCAGCAACTGTTCTTTACAACCTTTCAACTGAGAAGGAAGAAAAAGGGTTATACAACGGACTATTGGACATATTGTACCTTTGCAAATCAGATAGGAAACTATAAGACACCACACTATCATACTTTTTACAAAACTATTGATGTCAAAAACGTATTAAGCGGTGTGTATTGGGCCGTGGATTTCATATAATTTAGCAGTAAGTGAGATTTTAAAACATAGCTTTCCAAAATGTGTACTACAGCATTGGCAGATTGATGTAACCGGTGTGAAATGGCTAGCTAGTTAGCGGTGCGCGTTAGTAGCGTTTCAATCGGTGACGTCACTCGCTCTGAGACCTTGAAGTAGTTGTTTCCCTTGCTCTGCTAGGACCGCGGCTTTTGTGGAGCGACGTGCAACGATGCTTCGGAGAGTGTCCGTAATCGATGTGTGCAGAGGGTCCCTCGTTCAAGGCCAGGTAGCGGCGAAGAGAGGGACGGAAGTATGCTGTTACATTGACAGCTGCTTGAGTGCTGAATCACATTCAGGAAAGCTGATGACAGAATTGGGCAAGCCCCACCCTACAATGTATCATCGTGTTACGAAGTATAATTTATCAATTCGTGGCAGCAAAACACAGTTAGATCCAGATCATTACCCATTATAAAAGAAAAACAGAAACCGTTTCATAATGTGAGTCCCCATCACATTTATTCAAACAAATACTGTGTAGCTCTGCTCGACACACGGTAACGTAAAGGTATATTCCATGTGGCTTTGTCATGTCGCACAAAATACCCGGCAATAGAAAGAACGAGTAACGGTTATCTCCATATGAGAATTGAAACACACATATTCGATTAAAAGGCATGCAGATAGTTTACTGAAAGACATACCTTTTTTTCGCGGACACAAAAGGGTGAAGCAGTAGTATTCTCCTCAGCGGCGGAATGATGCAACGCGAGCACTTCACTGATGCAGGCACGTCAAAACTAGCGTACTGACGATGTACTTCCCTGAACTGAAAGAGGGGCGTGACTTGCAACATCAGGTTCGGGTTGCATCAGTTTATGCTTAAATTTGAGATGATCAGATTTCACATACATTCTCGTTAGTTTTCCAGCCAAAAGGTGACAATAGACATTACATTACATTTACATTTTTAGCAGACGCTCTTATCCAGAGCGACTTACAGTTAGTTTATTTTTCATACTGGCCCCCCTTGGCAATCGAACCCACAACCCTGGCGTTGCAAACGCCATGCTCTACCAACTGAGCTACATCCCTGACATATGTTAATATATAAACATAGATGCATATAGCATGTGACTGGTATTATATTTCAACATGGCAAAAGGAGGTCAACATAATAAACAAGGTGTATAGACTCATTTGGCTGAGTTCACACAGGCAGCCAAATTATTATATTTTGTCCACTAATTGGTATTTTGACCAATCTCATCAGATCTTTTCACATATCTTATTAGCCAAAACACCAATTAGTGAAAAAATATAAGAATTGGGCTGCCTGTGTTAACGCAGCCTTAAACCCAACTCAAAGGAAAAGCTATTTTTTTTATACGCGTGAACAAGCGTGAATACGGCTCGTGTAAGGTAAATTGCCACGTGCCGATTAGGCCGCCCAGAGTGGCTCGCACTTTCGATTGTGCGTCAACAATTCAGCATAGCAAGTTTGTATGATGGTCTGGTTATTAAATGGGTAAATAGTTTAATCCATTCTCCATTTCATGAATTTATTCACAGGTAAATAGTAATATGCTCTAAAATGCTCTTCTTACAAACAACCTTTGCTGCCCTGTTTCAAATCGTCCACATGGCTGGGAGAACCTATTCAAGTAACGTTATGTAAATGCATTTCGAAAATGTAAAACAAAAACGATTATTAAATAACTAACTACAGTGTAGGCCAACATGCTGACTAGACCGGACGCGCATGTTGATTGTACACCCACACCAGACGCGATGAGGCAATGCAGGTTGAAATGTCAAAACGAACTCTGAACCAACTATATTTAAATTTGGGGACAGGTCGAAAAGCATTAAACATTTATGGCAATTTAGCTAACTAGTTTGCTGTTGCTAGCTAATTTGTCCTGGGATATAAACATTGGGTTGTTATTTTACCTCTACTCCCGAAAACTAATCCACAGATAAATGGGTACACCGACTTCGTTTCTAGTAATCTCTCCTCCGTCAGGCTTCTTCTTCGGATTTTATATGGCGGTTGGCAACCAACTTTAAGGCGCATTAACACTAACGACTGGAGTGTGGACCTCAGTTAATACGTGGGTATATGCTCCTAAAAACCAATGAGGAGATGGGACAGGCAGGACTTGCAGCGCGCCAAGAGTAAGAAATAGACCAAATTCTGTTTTAGCGCCTGGCTGCGCAGACGCTCGTTGATGTGCGCGAGCAGTGTGGGTGCAATGATTGAATGACATGTATGTGTACATTTATTTTGCAACGCGAGCGCTGTGGTCAGCATGCTTAACTCAAATGAGCTGCTAACGTAGCTAGCTAGCTATCTAGCCAACTTTACATACTGTATAGATAGATATATAGATAGCTAAGTGAATTAAATATCACCAGCTACCTAACCTCATATTAGTTAGCTATCTTGATGTATTTATCACTGTAAAAAACAAACTCTAAATACATTTGTAGGTAGCTAGCTAACAGCCATGGAGGAGGGTGAAAGGATAGTAGCCCCAACTCAAAGTGAGAGTAGGCTATTCTGGATAGGGCAGGTACTTTTGTGTAGTTCCAGTCCCTAGAAGTGAGGACAGAGATAATAGTAACATAATATTCAGTGCGGTCTAATTTGAGTATAATGAAGTATATATATTTTTTGCGATGTTTTCTGTCCTCAGATACAGAGAGCTGTGAAAGCCTGTCTGCAGATGAAGAGGTCCCAATGAAGAGCAGTGGTTGTCAGTCCTGATCCTGGGGACTCAAAGGGGTGCACATTTTTGTTTTTGCCTTAGCACTACATAGCTGATTTGAAATGATCAACTCATCATCAAGCTTTAAGTGATATTTATGTATTAATTTGTGATGCTATCCTTAATATGATCCTGCTATTGTCACATGCTACACATGCGTGTGCACATGCATCTATTTATCCAATGTTATCATGATGTTTTAAGGGATATTATACTTTAGTAATCCACAATGACCTGGTGATGTAAAAGTCTAATAATGACATTATCTTCCATATTCCTACAGATACGGGCGGCAGGTAGCTTAGTGGGTAAGAGCGTTGTGCCAGTAACCGAAAGGTCGCTGGTTCTAATCCCCGAGCCGACTAGGTGAAAAATCTGTCGATGTGCCCTTGAGCAAGGCACTTAACCCTAATTGCTCCTGTAAGTCGCTCTGGATAAGAGCGTCTTCTAAATAAATAAATACATTAAATTCATTAATTAATTGTAACTGGAGATTCCTTAAAAACGACTGCCTACAGTTACCATGTAGGGCACTGCAAGGTTGGGTGACCAGGGCCATCTGGGACTGCCTCCTGGGGGAATTCAGGCATGTGAAGGCTTCCTGTATAATAATAATAATAATAATAAGCCATTTAGCAGACGCTTTTATCCAAAGCGAATTACAGTCATGCGTGCATACATTTTTTGTGTATGGGTGGTCCCAGGGATCGAACCCACTACCTTGGCGTTACAAGCGCCGTGCTCTACCAGCTGAGCTACAGAAGACAACTAAAACATGTAAAACATACTTTGGTGTCCCATTTTATTAAAGCTTCAAACTTAATGAATTGAATCAAAAACTTTACAAAGAAATTGAAAAAGGACTCCTTTACACTTCTGGACGAAATGAAATAAATAGGAAATAAACTGTAGTGTAATTGTAAACCCCAATCATAATCCAACTCACTCAAATAGTCACAGTATGGCCTGGACGTTCATCTTTCTTTATGTTGTATTGGGTCTATGTTGACCCATAAAGTGCATCTTTGGACAAATGGGCAGAAAAATACTGATTTGAATGAATTAATTATCCTCCAGTACAGTTGAATTAAGGGTTGGACTGGTCTGGATCAGTGACTGGACTTAGTATTTGTATTTAAAAAATTAAACTAAATAAAATCCGGTAACTAAAAAGTTATTTTAAAAAGTATTATTTCAAGCCATGTGCTTTCTGCTGCCCAAGGGCCATTGCATTTGGAGACCGACATAAACGAAAAAACAAATATCCACACAACGCAAACCAAACTCTCCAGCTTTTCTTTAGACAGTTAAAACGTAATAATGTTTTACGACATTTAAACCAAGAACCTTAACAACACTAGCACATTCCAGGTTGAATAAGAATGCCATGGCAATAATAGTAGCGGCTGCTCTACTACAATCCAATAACAAAATGGCAGGTGCAAAAAACTATTCATTTTCCATTATCGCTACTGTATGCTTTAGTGGTCTGACATGGTGATTTGAACACTTACACGGACCTGTACCAAGTTGTGGCCATTAAGAGAACCTCATCTCTCTTGGCAGTGTTAAGTGTTGGCGCACTTATATTTTTGAGATGGGAGTCAGCGTACTGAGAAGGCAGCGTTTGAACAAGTCTAGCAATACTCCGAGCGTTGACCAAGCATGCAGGAAAGGAATATAACTTCATAAGGATGAACACGAGGACCAGGAGGGGATCTGCAGCTCGCCGCCGTGTGCCAGAGAGGTCTGCTGCTCTGCAGGATGTTTCAAGGATGGGGGCCAACAACGCAGCATAGGAGGCAATCCGTGTGCGGGAGATCTTCACCTCCTACTTCTTCGAAAAGGGTACTGTTTTCTCAATAACAGTCTCTCTCCTTCACTTCATCCCTCTCCCCACTTCTCCCTAAATCATCTAGGTTATATCAGCTGTGTCGGTGAACCCCTCCCGCATCTGAACTGGCTGACACATAAAGGGCACAGCATGATCAGAGGTGAGAGGTCACTTGGTCGGGTCAACAGGAAGTATTATTAAAGAGATGCTTTACATTGAAATACAGATAGATGTAGTAGTCCCAGAGTTAATGATCCAAGGTCAGTTTTGCATTTCACCTCCTGATGATTATGATGACTGACAGTGTTAGAATAAAAAAAAACAAGGCTTAATCATGCTCTCTCTCTCTCCATCTGTCTGTCGTTTGCAGGTATGTTTTGATGTGAGAGAGGATGCCAACCCCCAGTCCCGTCATCGCCATCTCACCCGCTCTTAAGATAACCTTCGGGCCAACTGGGGGCCCAAGACTGTTAGGAGACACAGCAGAGACACTATTATGTAATTGTGATAAACTGAGAGAATATTAGGGTAGCACTGTAATTCATTAATCATATGCTGCCTTCCCTGCTCCTCTGTTCTTACCTCTTTCCCTTAGTCTTTTACACTCTCTCACACCTCTCTACCCACCTCTTTCTTCCTGTTTTTTATATAATGCACACCAGATGTGCATTGAAGTACAGACTGAACTTGTATTTATAATATATTACAATTATAATATTTATAATGCATGTATTATGTATTTATAACCCTTGGATAATGAACTTCTTTCAATAAAGCCTTTCACATTCTCTACTGGTTGAAATAAAGTCTCTAATTTGATGTCCTCAGATCAATGCAGATGAAGGAAATTAGATATTGAGATGAACCGGTTTTAGAGTATTTACATGATGCATAGGAAGTGTAGCGTACAGTTTTTTAAATGGGCGGCAGGTAGCTTAGTGGGTAAGAGCGTTGTGCCAGTAACCGAAAGGTTGCTGGTTCTAATCCCCGAGCCGACTAGGTGAAAAATCTGTCGATGTGCCCTTGAGCAAGGCGCTTAACCCCAATTGCTCCTGTAAGTCGCTCTGGATAAGAGCGTCTGCTAAATGACTAATTATTATTAATTATATTAAATTCTGTTTCTGTATATATGAATTACAAATCAGCCTTTAACTAGTAAAATCATGTTTCTAGTCTATTGCATAGTTACAATGTGTAACCATTGATGTCCCAGGACCAGTACACAC